TAGATTCCTCCGTTGTAATACAGACTTTCGCATTTGTCCTTTCTAAAATATCCGGAAACCATCCCCCGTTTGCCCTCAGCTCAACAATCCCTTTTCGTTTGTCCGACCTTCGATTGGCTGATTCTCACCTCTTTGATTGTAGTCCAGTAGACTTATTGTTGGGGGCCGATTTGTATCCTAAATTATTGCTGGAAGGTACTCTTGGGTTCCTTGCTAGCCCAAAACACGATATTCGGCTGGATTCTTACTGGTCCCATGCCTTCTTCTTCAGTCCAGGTCTTTACGACTTCATTGGATTTTGCTGAAGAAGAGTCTCTCAACAAGACACGACTCCGATTCTGGGAACTTGAAGAAGTGCCCGAACACTGTCAGACATGTTTTGTGAGAGGAATTATGGAGCAACGACTGTACGAAATTCGGAGGGCCGCTACGTTGTAACCCTTCCCTTTAAATCCGAATTTCCGCAAACAGTGCAAATCTGTGAATCTCGCAGTAATGTACTGAAAATATTTTGTCGATCAGAAAATTCTTTACTTCGAGTAAAGTACTTATCTTTGGCACATATGTGCCCGGTTAAGTCGTCCCAATCATCTAATATGCTTGTTTTTTATCTGCCACACCAGCCTGTAATTAACCCTGATAAACAGACCACAAAGCTCCGCGTAGTCTTCAATGCATCCAATAAAACATCAAATGGTATTAGTTTGAATGATTTGCTTCATGTTGGACCAACACTTCAGGCAGACTTAGTCCTTTTAATTTTACGATGGCGGTTATTTAGATACGTGTTCAATTGTGATATTACTCAAATGTACCGTCAAATTCGTGTCGCTTCTAAACATACGTCATTTCAAAGAATCTTATTTAGAACGTCTCCTTCCGAACCTCTCCAAGATTTTGAGTTGCAAACGGCCACATTTGGATTAAACTGCGCTCCCTTCCTACCAATCGTACTCTTCACCAATTAGCAGAAGATTCTCAATCTGATTATCCACTAGCCGCGCACATTCTCCGTAAATGTATGTACGTCGACGATGTTCTCACTGGGGCTCATGATATTCATACGGCTTGCGCTTATCGTGATCAACTTATAGAAGCCCTTGCTACGGCAAAGTTTGAGCTGAGGAAGTGGACATCAAATAATAAGTCCATTTTGTCTCGTTTTGCTTCTGATGAACTCGTGGATGCTCAAGTTCTCTCGTTTATAGAATCTAGCAGTTCTAAATCATTAGGAATTCAATGTAATGCGCACTCTGATTCTTTCTTTTTTGTCGTAGACTCTATACCAAAAAAAGCAAAATCTTCCAAACGGGAAGTCCTATCGGTCATTGCTAAGCTTTTCGATCCCATCGGGTGGCTATCAGCTGTCATTGTGGTTGGAAAAATTGTTATGCAAACGATCTGGTTAGACAGGATAGATTGGGATGATTTTCTGCTTGCTGCCACTAAAAAATCATGGCAAATTACTTTGTGGCAAATTACTCTGCCGTTAACTCAATTCAAATTCCACGTTGGGTTCACTATAGTCCAGAGGACACGACTGAGCTTCATGTATTTTCTGATGCCTCGGAAAAGGCATATGCCGGGGTAGTATATTTACACTCTCAGTCTCCACCTGGTGAGGGCAATGTTCATCTCTTAACTTCAAAAACTAAAGTTGCGCCTATAAAATCGGTATCCTTGCCGCGTTTTGAGCTCTGCGGAGCAACACTGGCCTCAGATCTTCTTAAGTCTGTGGTGGATGAAGTACAGATACCCGTTAATAGAATTTATTGCTGGACAGATTCTACTATTGTTCTGTCCTGGCTTCGCAAAACACCTTCTACTTGGGCTACTTTCGTAGCAAACAGAGTTTCTCGAATTCAGGAGAATATAGGAGGGGGACAATGGCGAAGATAACCCTGCTGATTTGGGAAGTCGTGGTACTTTATCCCAGGCCATGGTGGCATGGCCCTGATTGGTTACTATTGGACTCCTCGCAATGGAAAATAAACGATATAACTTCCATTGATACTGATCTTGAAAGGCGTCCGGTCAAGAGTCATTTTTCTCCTCCTACCATGATGTCTTAGATAATTTCTCGTCCTTTGAAAGGGCTTTGAGAGTACTATCCTACGTATTTCGATTTTATTATAATTGTCGTCCAAATTCTCAATATCGTTGGGCCTTTGTTTCTACTACTTTGGAGGCTTCCGAGTTAAAAGCGGTTAAACTTCGTTTAGCTATTCTCGCTCAAAGGACGTACTTTGCTGAGGAGTACAAGTGTTTATTAGAGCGGACCCCCTTACCTTCAAAAAGCTCTCTACTTACTTTAAATCCTAGTTTGGACCAAGACGGTGTCATGCGTCTCCATGGCCGCTTAGCAAAGTCCCAACACTTGCATACACTGAACGTCATTCGATTCTATTGCCATATTGCTGCCGATTTGTTCGCCTACTTGCAGAATTCGTACACGAGATTTCCCTTCCTGGTTAATTTGACCATTTATATTTTTCGTCAGAGCGGGACGCCTGCGGAATTTTGTAAAAAAAAATTATGCATTTAAAAACAAATGTTATTCAAAAACGGAGAGAATACGTATAAATCTAATTTATGAAATTAATCTTATGTCTAAGTATTTGTTTTATATTTGTCAGCAGAGCAAATTAGTTTTAAAATATCGGGTCTAGTTTTCAAGTAGGAATGGAGCTGATTACATTGTTTGTTGATGTTAGTCTTAGTAATTAAAATAGCTTTTAAAACTGTCACACTTAACTGCGTTTTTTTCACTTGTCCATATTTTATTCATTAGGGAAAAAACTCTTTCGACAGGTGCGTTACTTCCAGGCATACATAAAACATACTCAATAATTGTGCGAAAGTTTGTGCAGTTGAGATTATTAGCACGGAAGTGTTTAAACAGCTCCACCCAACGGTCTTCAGTAGCAACATTCTCATCGTTCCAGCTTTTGATTTTTTCAACTGTGACGTAACTGGAAACAAGCGAAAACTCATCGAACACCTCCGTATCTTGGCTACTGCTAAGAAATCTTTGTGTGATCAGCAAATCCGTCACATTCTGTACGTCTTCCCAAGTAGGGACTTTTCTCAAATTTGACCATTCAAATACTGCTAGTTGTGCATTGAACTGGCACCACTGTTCCAACTATTCTTTACTTGTCTTATAAAAATCCGCTGCCGCAGTTTTCACATTCTGCTCATCAACAGCAACGTCAGTTTTTTGTAATTTTACCAGTAGATTGCGGACGGAATGAGGAAGGAAAATCGAATTCTCTTTAAGTTCTAAGTTATCTCGGAGACGATTAATTTCATTCGCAGACTCTATTGGGGACACGTTTTGTCCCTCGATTTTCAACACGGCTTGATGAAAAATCGCTGTCTGTGCGTGCAAAAAATATAACCACAATTCAGAGCTGGGATTTTCTTATTCAAATCATTGCAAGATAATACTTCTTTCAAATAATCCACAATTATATCAGATGATTCGCCTGGCTGCTTTTGAAACTCTAAAATCCTGACTCTGACGCCTTCGTATGGTACAAAATAGCGAACTAAAACAGGGAATAATTTTATTGAGCCATGATTGGAAGCATCGGTTAATAAAGATATGCAGTGGGCTTCGTGAAGGTGTTCTTTCAATTCGTCCATCGCCATAGGTGCCAGCACATTTACAACTATAGCTTGTGATTTTGTATGGGCACATCTAAATTTTTGCTCAAAACATGTGTTGGAAATCGTCCCAACCCCATCGATGATGACATCGACATGGACCTCATTAACATCGATGAATAACGATCGACAAGTTCCCATCACTACCACCGAAAGGGGACCACTCTTCTTCTTGAAGTTAAAAAAAAAAATAAAGTGTCGATCGCCAGATCAATATAAATAATTATTTATTTTCAAATAAATTGACCGCCAGCGTCAAATTTTGAGTTAAAAAAGTTAATTTTCGTGGTTTTATTTGCAGACAACAAACGTAAGTATCGTCAGAATACTTGTTGTGTTGTTGTAGTTTGCAAATTTATATTGTTGTCCGTCTGGTTCAACAATAGTCTTCGATTCTAGGTCTATTCAGTAGAATTAGAATCCCTACAAATCCTTTCGACCGTATCGGAACTTGTACATGGTCCTTCGAGTCCAAAAAAATAAGAATCGGCTGATTTGCCATCAAAATTCCAAAAAAAAAAAAAAAAAAATAATAATAATAATAATTTAAAATTGTAAAGTACTGAGAAGTGTTGTTGTTTTGTTTTAATTTGCATTCGAAAGTGGCGGCTTTTGTGTTGTTTGTTGTCACTAATACATACAACAAATTAACACTGCCATTTCACAGAAAACACATACACTAACACATTTTAAAGATCACTCTCACTTAAATTGTTCCATCATTTTTGGTATTTGTTTTTGTTTTGGTCATCTGCCATTTTACAACATTGAACAAGTTATTATCACCTGTTCCTTGTTGTTTACATCGGTCTGTCAGCTGTCATACTGACAATTGATTATTTTAGGAAGTGTTCAGGAAAAGTGAGCAAGTTAGTGTAACGTAACGAAAAGTTGTCGTAAACGTATCTTAACGTAGCACAAGTACTGAACGTAACATATATTGATATTGAATAGAAATAAAACTAATAATAACAATAAAATACAAGAGTAAATACAATAAAAATAATAAATTAAAAAAATATATAATATATTTAATTAAAAAAAAAAAAAAGAATTTATAACATTTTAAGGAATTTTCAATAAATTTTTATATATTAAATATTTATTGAGAAATAATAATTATACTTCAAACATTTTTTAAATCTAATTGGAATAACTTCATTTATTTATTATTTAATAAATAAGTTGAACGTTACAGTTTGAAAGTGTAATATAAATAATAACAAAGATAAACAATTACAAGATAAATATAATAAAACAATTAAAAAAATAGATACGTGTAAATAAATAAATTTGATAAAAATAAAAAAATTAAAATAAAATAATCAATAATGGAGTCAGTAAGTTGTGCTAAGTTTGAATATGAAGCAGACAACCTTTTGGAAGAGTGCACAAAATTGAGAAATATGCCAGAAAAGGATTTAAGCGATTCTTTAATAGAAACAAAATTAGAATCGCTTGATGAAGATTGGCAAAATTTACGTAGTGCGTTTGAGAGTGTATTTTTTGCGGGTACAGAAGATGAGGAAGATAAACAATATAAAATAAAGGTAAAAAAATATTATGAGTCAGTCAGAGATAATTACCAAGTGACTAAAGCTACATTATTGGAAATATTAAAAAATCGAAAGGCGCAGAGCCAAAGTAATAACGCTAGAGGCGAAGTTACAAATCCATCGTTGTTTCACAGCTCAGCTGTTTATCCTCCGGGTACAACGTTTGATATGTCTGAGATTTGTATTAAAGTGCCACCTTGTGACACTCAAGACTTCTACGGAAGTTATGAAGAATGGCCAACATTTAGAGATATGTTTACGGCTATTTATGGAAATCATCCCAGACTCACACCAGCGCAAAAGCTTTATCATTTGCGTAATAAAACTAAAGGTGAGGCTGGTAGAATTTTAGATAGGTACCCTTTATCTGATCAAAATTTTTCGTTAGCATGGGAAGCATTATCGGTGCTATACGAAAATGTTAGGGTACTAGTTGATAACCAACTGAAGATATTATTCAATCTTTCTGCAGCAACGGTTGAATCTAGCAAAGATATTAAAAGAATTCAATCGACAGTTAGTGACTGCTTGGCTATATTGAGAGCTCATAGTGTAAAGGTGGATCAATGGGATCCAATTTTAATATATTTATGTTCAACTAAGCTTCCGGTTGATACACTGACTCTATGGGAACAATCGCTCGAATCACATTCAGAGCTACCCAAATGGTCGCAAATGGAAGATTTTCTTAAGAACAGACATCGGGTTCTAGAGCGAATAGATGGTCTCAGAAGTCAAACAGCTTCAACTTCATTTAGCAATGATCATATATCGCATCAAAATGCTCATTTGACACAATCAAACAGATGTGTCATGTGTTATAAGAACCATATTTTGAAAAATTGTATGAGATTTAATAATATGAATGTTAATCAGAGAATAGAGTTCGCAAGAGAAAAGAGGTTGTGTAATAATTGTCTAACAAGCGGACATATTTCGCAGGAATGCGTGAGTGTGCATAGGTGTATGTTTTGCAAAAAGAAACATCATACTAAATTGCACCTACAAAGTAATGGGCAGGAGAGATCTATACAACCAAGAAATGTAACGAGGGATAACCAAGCACCTGTCCGTTCAGCAAATGGGAGTCAAACAAATACTCTTGTTACCACTGACAATACTGTTGATGAAATGCCTTGTTCATCTAGTTCGATAGTTCAAGCTTCCAATGTGGAAACACATGTTTCAGTGTGTCATGATGACATTATGTTGCCAACAGCATTAGTAAAAGTTAAACATGCTGGGGAACAATTTACTGTTAGAGCGCTCATTGGCTCTGCTTCTGAGCGAACATTTATAACCCAGAAAATTGTAAAAAGAATTGGACTTTGCACAGAAAAGGCAAATTTTAAAATAAGTGGTCTGAGTGGAACAGTCGTTGCAAACTCCATTAAAAAATGTATGCTGACGCTGTGTTCAGACACAATCAACAACGAAATTGAAACTGAAGCATTAATTGTTCAAAATTTAACGAGTTTGCTGCCGACACAAATAGTATCAATTTCTGACTTAGGAAGTATAAAAGAATTAAAATTAGCAGACCCAGGGTTTATGATTTCTGCCCAAGTAGACATGCTAATTGGGAGCGATGTTATCCCACAAATAATATTGGAAGGTGTTAAGAAGAACATATTGGGAAACATGATAGCTCAAAATTCAATTTATGGTTGGTACATCTATGGACCAATAAAATCAAATGAAATTTGTTTAGCTTCAGTAGAAGTAGAAGAACATAGCGAAGATGACATTAGTTCCGCACTAAAGAAATTCTGGGAACAAGAAGAAGTTAATAACGTTCCAATTGCTACAGAATCGGACAACTATTGTGAGGAATTTTACGCTAATACGACTTACCGTCGTTCAGATGGAAAGTTCGTTGTAAGATTACCATTTAAAGATGAATTTCCTAATAAAGTATGTTTAGGTTCGTCCAGATTTAAAGCAAAGAAGCAATAAGAGCATATGGAAGCAAAATTGGGGAAAAATAAAGAAGTAGAAAAATCGTATAATGTTGTTTTGAAGGAGTATTTGTCATTAGGACACATGAAGCCTACAAATTCAAAGGAAATCTGTAATGATGGAAAATATTATTCATATTATTTACCACACCATGCTGTCTTTCGACCAGAAAGTACAAGCACAAAAGTGAGAGTGGTCTTTAATGGATCGAGTAAAACGAAAAGCTCGTATTCCTTAAATGAGGTTTTGCATACAGGGCCAATATTACAAAATGATTTGGTGTCTATAATTTTGAATTGGCGCTTGTATAAGTATGTGTTTAACGGTGACATTGAGAAAATGTACCGACAGATCTTTGTGCATCCTTCTGATTGGCAGTATCAAAGAATATTATTCAGGAAAGATGTTAATGAAGAAATTAAAGAATATGAGTTATGCACAGTTACTTTTGGTGTAAACTGTGCTCCTTATTTGGCGATTCGCACATTGTTGCAATTGGCAGAAGAGTCAAGAGAAACAAGTCCAATTGCCTCTAAAATAATAAAAAACGAGCTATATGTTGATGATGTTTTGACTGGAGGTCATACTATTGCTTCAGCGCTAGAGGCGCAAAAACAACTAATTAAAACATTGCATTCGGCAGGATTGCCGTTGAGAAAGATAACGGCAAATCACCCGAGTTTGCTTTCAAACGTCCGATCAGAGGATTTGTTGGATGAAAAATTTTTGAGAATTGAAGATATGAGTTCAACTAAAACATTAGGCATTCAGTGGAATGCCATTAGCGACACATTTTCTTATAGTATGAAGTCACTAGAGGGGACTGGCCAAATAACTAAAAGGAAAATCTTGTCAACAGTTTCGAAACTATTTGACCCAGCAGGGTGGTTAACGCCTTTAATCGTACAGGCTAAAATTTTGTTGCAAGACCTTTGGTTAGAAGGCATTAAGTGGGATGATAAAGTGTCATAATCCACATTGATTAAATGGAAAAATTTTGTGAATCAATTTTCAAAAATCGATTCAATACAAATCCCAAGATGGATTAATTTTTGCCTAGAGGGCACAATTCAAATACATGGTTTTTGTGATGCATCTGAGAAAGCCTATTGCGCTGCATTATATATTCGTATGAATACAGTTGTGCTGGTCAACTGTAAACTTGTCGATAGCTAAGAGCAAAGTTGCGCCATTGAAAAAAATAAGTTTACCAAGACTTGAGCTTTGTGGTGCCGTATTGCTCTCATCTTTGGTAAAATATGTTGTCTCAAATTTGAATGTTAAAAATTATTCTGTTCATTTATGGACAGATTCAACAATTGTATTGGCATGGTTGCAAAAACATCCATCCACATGGAATACGTATGTTGCAAACAGAACTGCATTAATATTTCAAAATGTTGAAAATTGTAAATGGAGACATGTTTCTACGAAGTGTAATCCAGCAGACCTTGGAACTAGAGGTTCCAGTACTGAAGATTTATGCAATAATTCGCTATGGTGGAATGGTCCAGTCTGGTTACTTAGTCCTGAAAATAATTGGCCAAAATCAAGTATAATTTTACAAGATCCACCAGAACAACGAAAAGTAGTTGTACATTGCGCACCAATTATTATTAAAGATAATTTGATAATAAACAGGTTTTCTTCTTACAACAAAGCACTGTGGGTTGTAGGATATATATTTCGTATGAAGAAGCGTCAAGAAAAAAATGAAAAGTCTGAGTTGTCAAATGATAAAATTCTATCTCACGAGGAGTTAAATCATGCTAAATTGGTTCTTGTCCGAATAACCCAAATGTTTCATTATCCGCAAGAGTATAATGAATTAAGCAATCCGAAAGACATTTCACGTCAAAGCTCATTGCGTGCACTAAATCCGTTTTTGGATAAAGATGGCATAATAAGAGTTAATGGTCGATTAGCGAACGCTAACATTTCCTATGATGAAAGATTCCCAATTATATTGCCAAACTCATCGCATTTCTGTAAAATATTTTTAGAGTTCATCCATAAAACTATGTTGCACGCAGATATATCGTTAATGATGTCAACCGTTCGAAAACAGTTTTACATTCCAAGTTTAAGACGGTCAATAAAGAAAATTGTTCATGAATGCTTGATTTGTACAAGGTATAAAAATAAGGTTAAATCGCAGATAATGGCAGCATTACCTGTGGAACGAACATCTTTCACTCTTCCCTTTACATATGTGGGAGCAGATTTCGCAGGCCAGTTTCAGATTAAGGCAGGCTCTTTAAGAAATTCCCCTTATCAAAAGTCGTATGTTTGTATATTTGTTTGCTTTTCGACGAAGGCGGTTCATCTCGAAGCTTGTTCAGCCTTATCAAGTGAAGCTTTTCTTGCTACTTTTGCTAGATTCATAGGTAGACGAGGCTTACCCAGATGCTTAATGTCTGATAATGGAACAAATTTTGTAGGGGCAAATAGTATACTTATGAGAGAATACCAAGAATTTCTGAAAAAATGTTCCAAAGAAGTGTGTGAAAAGTATATAGTTAATGGCTTCGAATGGAAATTTATCCCTCCCAGTGCTTCACATATGGGAGGATTATGGGAAGCAGGTGTTAAAAGTTTTAAATTTCATTTCCAAAAGGTAATAAAAGATAGTTAGAATTGAAAGTGTTTTAAACACGAGACCTTTAACACCGTTATCTGAAGATCCAGAGGATTTGGAGGCTTTAACACCAGCGCACTTTCTGAGAGGTGGGTCACTAATATTTGCTCCAGAAATGCCAACAGAAGATTTATCTCTTATAAATCGATGGGAAAAAGTTAAAGCTCTTCATCACACGTTTAGCAAGAGATGGAAAACTGAATATATTCAGGAACTGCATAAGCGGTATAAATGGCAGTATCCCCGGCGGAGTCTTAAGGAAAATGACATGGTGTTGATAAAAGATGAACTTCTACCACCTAATGACTGGAAGATGGGACGAGTTTTAAAAGTATATGAAGGGCTTGATGACCACGTAAGAGTAGTTGATGTAAAAACTACAACAGGTATTATATCCCGTCCAACTGTAAAATTGTGTGTACTTCCAGTCAGTGGTTGTTAGTAGAAAGTAGTATGTGTTTCAAAAGTTACAGGATTCTAACTAATACGTCATGCCTTAAATGGCACCCCTTTTCTTCTGCATTGTTTCCTCCTCTATATCCATTACAGCTATCATAATGAATATGGGCCAATTTGATGTATGCATGGTATGCTTTAGCATTCACCACCTAAGATTCTGCCCGGCATTTAAAGTGATGAATATTGAGCAGCGGGAGAGCGTAGTTTTGATGCATAAGTATTGCATAAACTGTCTCAGTAGAAGTCACTTCGTTCGATCCTGTACCTGGACGGGTACGTGTAGAATGTGCGGAGCTCGACACAATACTATGCTACACCAGGCTGTAACAAAAATAGGAGGAAACATGGTTGGCGTAGTTGATGGAGGCAACCGGGGAATTTCAAATTTCCATGCGTATGCCGAACAAAGGTTGAGGCAGAAACACCAACAACAACAAACTCTTTTTGGAATCCAGACTCGTCAGCAACAACAACGACGTCATCACAAAAACAAAAAGCAAACGAAAATACAAGAAATTAAACAACAACAAACCCAAAGACTTGAAGCACAAAAAACACCAAAAGGCAGTAAAATGGAGAAACAGCAAAAGACCGGAGAACAACAACATCAGCTCCAAAACATTCCAAATATTAACAAACGTCAAATGAAAAAAACGGCTGGCCAAAATTCCACCACACCTTTAGAACATGATTCTAACAGGATGAATCGACTATTAAATGTTCTGGAAAAAATAGCTACGGCATTGACAGTTGCACAAGTGCAAGGGGCCCGGCATGTTGGAAATCTTCCCAACCCCATCGATGATGACATCGACATGGACCTCAATAACATCGATGAATAACGATCGACAAGTTCCCATCACTACCTCCGAAAGGGGACCACTCTTCTTCTTGAAGTTAAAAAAAATAAAGTGTCGATCGCCAGATCAATATAAATAATTATTTATTTTCAAATAAATTGACCGCCAGCGTCAAATTTTGAGTTAAAAAAGTTAATTTTCGTGGTTTTATTTGCAGACAACAAACGTAAGTATCGTCAGAATAATTGTTGTGTTGTTGTAGTTTGCAAATTTATATTGTTGTCCGTCTGGTTCAACAATAGTCTTCGATTCTAAGTCTATTCAGTAGAATTAGAATTCCTGCAAGTCCTTTCGACCGTATCGGAACTTGTACAACATGTTTGTATTAGATTTGAAGCACAGTCATTCGAACGAAAACTGTGGTTTTCTTGCACTGTGTGGTACGCCCACGCACCCTCCGCTGCAGCTATATCCAAGTCTTTGGAAGTCGCCAAATTTGTTCTTTTAAAAAAAGAAAGCATTGACGAGCTTGAAGCGGCAGCTTGATCAGAAAGCTTGTGTTTTTCCGATTTTAAATGCTCCTCAATATCACTGGCACCATCATATCCAACACTAAAATCAGTACGACATTTTTCACACATAACGTCTGATTCACCACTTCTTTGTTTTATAAATGGATACTTATTTTGCAAAGAAATGTTAAAAGTACACTTGCGTTTAGGCATTATTGTAATGTAACAATCACTAACATTGAAAATAAATTGTTTGACTTTGCTCGCCTTCTCCGACTCCGCGATGAAAAGATACCAGAACAATTTAGAGCGTCTATGCTTAGGATACTGACAGAGTGACAGAAACTTTTTCTGTTTTTATAAGCATTTTTAATTTGGTTATTTCCCTTGTTATGCTGGAGTTAATGTCAACGCCGTCGACGACGCCGAAAAAGTTGAAGCAGATTGAACTTTTTCGGCGTCGAATTTCTTACGGCGTTAAGATTAATTGCTCTCATAAAATTTCATACGATTCAATTTTTTTGACATTTGACGCCGTCGACGACGTCGACATTAACTCCAGCATTAGCATTACAAAATCTTTCGAGTTAATTTTAATGTTAATGTTGCTTGAAAAAAACTATGCAAATAAATTATATGTTCACGGGGAAAAAAATAACTCATGTATTTTTCATCAATATCAATATCCAGTATTTTCGAAAGCGGGACATTTTTGCTCTCGCTGGGGACAGCGGGACAGATAACCTCAAAGCGGGACTGTCCCGCCCAAAGCGGGACGTATGGTCACGTTATTCATGGTGGAAATCAATTAATGCTTCGTATACTTCGTACTGAATACTGCGTTTCTCGTCTGAAAAATTTTATTCGGGTTGTTATCAATCGTTGCAAGAGATGCATCGTTGAAAAGAAGCGCTCCTGTAATGAAATTATGGCCGCTCTTCCTCGAAACCGTAGTTACACGTCCTTTCCATACTACAGGGGTTGATTTCGCAGGAAGTCATTTACAGGTAGACCGTGTCATATAACCAAAGGTTATGTGTGTGTCTTCGTCTGCTTTTCAACAAAAGCAGTTCACTTAGAAGCTACTTCTGACCTGTCGTCTGCTTCTTTTATGGCAGCCTTTTATCGGTTTATTGGTCGTCGTGGGTGCCCTCGGACGGTGTTTTCAGATAATGGGACTAATTTCGTAGGTGCTTCTCGGGAAATTGAAAAGAATTTCAAGGATTTCCTTAGAGATAGTCGTGAAAAAGTTTGCGCGGCGTTGGGTTATCAAGAGATCTCTTGGCAGTTTATCCTCGCAAGTTCTTCCCATATGGGAGGACTTTGGGAAGCTGCAGTAAAAAGTTTCAAAAAACATTTCCATCGACATGCCAAACACTTTATATACACTTTTGAGGAGCTTTCAACAGTTTTAGTTCGGATTGAACCATGTTTGAATTCATGTCCCTTCCGCCCTATAAACGAAAATCAAGAAGATATTGTAGCTCTCACCCCGGTCATTTTCTTATAGGCGCTCCTCTTCTTTCTCCGCCTGAAGAAATGGTATCTGACTCCATGGAATCAGCTTCGGTCATTTTCCTCTTTGTCGCCTTGCCAGAGAATGACGAAGAAATGATGTCTGACGGAGAGGTTGAAAAGGAGATGCTTCTTGCGGAAATTGATATGGTCGTCGAAGCTGCCAAAAAAACAGCTCCAGAAACATTAAGTTCAATGGAGGCACCTCCCTCCAGCCTACTACGTCGTCAACTGGTTCCGCCGTACAGCCCAGAAATTCACAGTCAAATCGCTTGATCTGCCGCCTTTGAACCAGTCCCTACGCACTTTAGCGTTGCTTAAAATGTAAGAAGATGCCCCAACATAAACGTCTACGCTTTACATTCCCGCACACGTCCGCAAAACTACTCCAGTCGTCCGAGTACCCATATTCGTCCGTCTCATTCGTCGCATGTCGTTCGTCCGCGTGTTGAAATGCCTGTTGTCCGAAGCATCAATCCACTTCCTATAAGTAGGTTAGTCAAGCTCGCTCCTACCGTCGTAGTCCGACTGTGCTACCAAAATGGTGCAATGCTAGTTCGAGCTCTTTTGGATCCATGCGCTGGAGTCAGTTGGGTGTGTGAGAATCTAATTGCGATGTTGCACTGGCCTGTATCTTCGATCGATGGAGAGCGATATTGCGATTTCATGATGGCGTCCACGTATGACTGGTCCCAACGCCAATTGGTTACAGCGCAGGTCGCGAAGTTGTCATGTGGTCGCACTCCGCCGACTTCAATACCATCAACGATTCTGACTTCGTTTATCGGTTTAGAATTGGCGGACCCGTCGTTTTACAAATCAAGCGCTGTGGGTATGGTGTTAGGGCCTGAAATCTACGCTAAAATTATTTCCCCCTCATTCTAACCCAACCCAACCCAACCGGGTTTACCAACGGCCCAATATACGTCCTTTGGCTGGGTAATATCGGGCTCAGTACAACCCTAAACTTTTTATACCCTACAACACTATGTGTTGGGGGGTATTATAAGTTTGATTGGGCCAAATATTATGTAACACCTCGAAATATTGGTTTCCCACATAGGAAAGTATATATGGATCTTCCTATCTCGCCGAGCTGAGTCGATCTAGCTATGTATGTCTGTCCGTCCGTCTGTCATTGTTAATTTGTAATCACTCTACAGGTCGCAATTATGACCCGATCTTCACGAAATTTAGAAAGGAGGAGGATAATCGCATAATATTTAGGGGTTGAAATGGACCAAAAACTGAAAAAATTCCTGATTTTGCATTTGCTGTACAGGTCGCAATTATAGACCAATCAAAGCGGAAGTAAGCATGGGGCTATCTTTCACGAAAATTAGGGCTGGGCAAAAGCCTTCCAATTTTGATGGTCATCGGGCAATATTTAGTGGGTGAAATAGGCCAAAACATTTGTGTTAAATGAAAGTCAAATTTTCCATTAAACCGCGAATATTTTTAATCCCGGCGAAATCACAAATAGACGAACAGGTCAATTCTGACCGTTACGTAGATGCCGATAGCAAATATATATAGCGAAATATATACAATGTGTATATACAAAGGAAGGAGATGTTAGTTAGAATGCTTATATCTCAAGAATGGCTGGACCGATTTTGACAAATTTTGTCAATTCAGAATGCCCTCTTGACATAAAAGTAAGTATAAATATGCCAATAATGATGTTAATATAGATTTTGTAGTATTTTGTGACATTTTTTTATTTTTTCATAGTTTTTATCGCATGCGATTTTTTCCATTTGATATTTAATATTATTTAATATTTTTTCACCTTACAACACAGGTTGGGGATATTATATAAGTATTGCAAATATCTTCCGAATATAGTATTGCAAATATCTTTCACGAAAATTTTCACAAGGGTAGTGTTGGGCTCAGAAGGGCTAGGCCTATTGTTTTCAAAGATGTCCGCAATATATTAGGGTGTTGAAATGGACCAACAACTAAAAATTTTCCTGATTTTTGGAGCCGTTATAAAGGTCACAGATAGAAACCAAAGGACACGAAATCTCGCATAAAGTTAGAGTTTAGGACAGCGGGTAGAATGGACCACTAATTTTGTGTGAAAAAAATACAAGCATTACTTACAGGCGATATCCGAAATACACAAAAGGAGAACCTCTGGCTTTTTTATACTGATTTCGTTGACGAATATTGCCAAATATCGTAGACAAGCAAATCATATAGATGAGTCTACATTTGAACATACCGAGGGGCTTCTTGCCTTTGAAGATGATTGCAATATATTTAGAGTTCAAATTAACCGAAAACAGAAATGTTTTTCCGATCACACAATTGAACCCAATCTACACGCCTGTGAAGAGAGTTAAGGACAGGGAAGAATTCTAGCATTTTGGATGACCATTATATATTAGATTATATTTAGCTGTAAAATGGACTACAACAACTAACAGCCCGACGGAGTGTATAAATGTTGGGCAAATGTCGCTAGTCAAAATCCTAATTTCAAAAGCGAAATCTTCCAATATGGATTTGGACATAAGGGGGCTTCTAACATATTGTAGTGTTGTAGGGTATAACATAGTCGGCCCCCCGACTATAGCCTTTGCTTACTTGTTTATTTTATTTATGTAAGCTGAATTGAAACCGAAATAAAGTTTTGAATTGAAACACAAATGCTCAGTGAAACTGAATTACAATACCTGTCACTTCAATTAATTACACATGCATATACTAAACCTAACGTTAAGTCGCGAATTTAGTCTAACCTATGTTGCCACGCAACATAGCGCAGCAAGGCGGGCGGCAATGTATGGGTTCGATGCACTGCTTGCCCCTTCCCCAGCATTCCAACTACTCTCGTTAGTTGGCCGCTCTTTCGAGCTCAGTGGGGAAAAATCTTCTCTGCAATTCTTCCAGGAGCCATATTCGCCTAGTTCGGATTGTAGGAGAAAGGTTCTTCTCTTTTCTACTACATCTCCTGGAAGCCATATTCGCACTGTTCGGATGCGGAGAGGAACTTTCCAATGCTGTGGTCGTTGTTGATGATCGCAACTTTGCTGCGCTTGAGTTGCCCATCGGTAACTTACTTGTTAAAACCCTCTCATTGATAACACACGTTTGCAAGGTCAATCATTGTTTCGTAGAAACCCACCTCTTTACCAATAAAATTTAAACCATATTTTTAAATTCATATAAATCTAAAGGTACGTTACGATAAATTCCGAATTTAACTAGAGCCAACAATTTAACAGAAAATAACATAGCTATGTTAGTTTAACAGAGCTACATAAAAATTGTTTTTTCCTTTATATTTTTGATTTTTAATTACTTATCGTATAAAAACGCTAACAAAATGCATTATATAATCATAATTAAATTATATTCAAAAGATTGTAAGGCAACATACACCCATTAACTCGTAGCACAATACTATGTGCCAGGACAAGTATACACCAAACTGTGCCTTCCAGGACAATTCTGCCGGCACAATATGGGTATCTACGGAAAGCTTATGAAGTCTACTATCCATTGGCATTAACAAAATTATAGGTCCGGCCAGTTCCGAGGTATATGGTCATTTCTGCAGGTATCCTTGGAACAGGATAACTCCATTGGCCAATATGCCTTCCAGGACAATTCTGCCGGTGCAATATGGGTACCTACGGAAAGCTTATGAAGTCTACTATCCATTGGCATTAAGAAAATTATAGGAAGATCCGGCAAGTTCCGAGGTATATGGTTATTTCTGGAGGTATCCTTGAAACAGGATAACTCCATTGGCCAATATGCCTTCCAGGACAATTCTGCCGGCACAATATGAGTACCTACGGAAAGCTTATGAAGTCTACTATCCACTGGCATTGACAAAATTATAGGAAGGTCCGGCCAGTTCCGAGGTATATGGTCATTTCGGGAGGTATCCTTGGAACAGGATAACTCCATTGGCCAATATGCCTTCCAGGACAATTCTGCCGGTGCAATATGGTTACCTACGGAAAGCTTATGAAGTCTACTATCCATACATACAACGGCACCTCCCGATTTGATCATTTTTGCCTCATTTTCCCAAGGATTTGTATAAAATTGGTATTTGTAGTTCGTGGTAGGTTCCAGCTGGCCGAATAAAGTATAAACAGTCCAACGTTTTGTCTAGCCCCATATAACGGAACCTTCCGATATTCAGTGTTGAGGTTCCTGGTACATAACGCCGATAAGCCAACTATCGATACCTCAACAATTAACTATTGTCATCAAAGAAGAAAAGCAAGAAGAAGCAATATTTTTGGAATGAGGAAAATAATTGTTTTGAAAATAAATACAGAAACTCAGACCGTCAGAGTCTTTTAAATAAAACAAGTGTTTTATTAAAGCCTTATTAGCAAAAAAATTTCACGCCAAATTTTCTTTAATTCACGATTTTATTGACGATTATTTGCCAAGATACCATTCCAAAATTGTATGATCCGTCAAATCGTTCTTAAGATATAAGCGTAGTAACTTACATAATTTTCTTTTATATGGTGAAAATAATTATTTATTTTGTTTACAAGAAAAAAAAAAAAACAATTAAATTCAGTATAATAACCCAAATTAAAGAAAATCGTACAACAAATAAAAAAAAAATTGAAAAAAAATCTTTAACTTGTTCGCTGATTTTTTACGGCAAATGTTTAAAGGTCCTCACGAAATTTGTCAATAGAATGTACTATTATTTTAAAATTTGATTTCATCGAAAATGTTTCTCGATTTTTTTTTGTGATTTTTAAGCGATTTTAAAAAAGTAATTACCATTATCCTTATTAAGTTTGGTGCGACCGCGTTAAATTATTGTGACATCATCTATTCACACATAATTCTGTACTTCAAAAAGTTAATCAAATTGAAAGAACCCTATATATATATATATATGTATATATATATATATGTATATATATATATATATATATATATATATATATATACATATATATATATATATATATATATATATATATATATATATATATATATATATATATATATATATATATATATATATATATATATATATATATATATATATATATATATATATATACAGGGTACAGATAGCGATGTCCTTCCGTCTATCCGTCTGTGGAAATCACTCTACCTTCCGAACGAAATGAAGAAAGTTGATAAAAATGTACTCGAGTGTGTATTATATCTGCAGGACTTTTGGGCTATGTAGGTCCACGTCTTCGTATAGCCCCCACAAAAGGGTACCTCCCGATATTCGGTATTTTGATGATTTCAACGACATTAGTTACCGG